GGTGGGGCTGAACACTCCAAGCTGCCAAACACGGCTTGTTCTTTCCAGTGACAAGATGTGGCCCTCATGTAGTAGCCATCGAGAGTCCACCCAGAGTTGCCTCATTAGCAAAGACCAAATATTAGAATAAAAGATACACACATATATATATATTCACTGCATAATCTCGTCATAAAAAGGCATGGCCACTAAACTACTGTGAATGTCAATGTTACATATCTCTAAATTCCTAGTCCAGGTCCCTATTCATAGTAGGTACACAATAAATTTTAGTAATAGCAATTTGTAAAGTGGGATAGTAGACTTTTCCTGCCAGTTATATGAGGTGGTTGTAAGGAGCACAGGAGATAATGATAGAGCTACCCGAAAAGTATTGAATATTATTTAAATGTGATATAGAATTGTAGAATTGATATTAGAATAATCAATATTGTTGTATGTATGAATTGAGGACTTACTATGTGCCAAATGCTATGCTAGATATTTTAGATCTCATTTATTCTCAGGATTATTATACCATGTATCCATCTTAAGTACTTTGTGGAATAAAGTATGGTTATATGTGTCAATATTATCCCCCATTTTACAGATGAGGAAAACGAGGCTCAGAAAAGTTAGGTTACTCAGCAGAAAAACCAAAGTTTAGGATCCAGGCCAGTTTGTATCTGTGCATGAATGAATATGAAGGGGGGAAAATGAAGGAAGTGATGATTACTTGAGAGGATGCTCCAAAGAATAAAGAACACTGAATAATAAAAAAGACTCCAAGGAAATTGCTCCTCCTTCAACGCTTTTACTCACTCTTGCATTGTACACATTGGACCAGCTAGTAGCTGCTAAAAGTATATTTCTGATGGAACATGGCAAGCTCAGCATGAAGGGTTGTTGTCACTGATCCTTCCAAAGAACTGCAATACTTATCTAAATATCAAAATACCATACTAGAATGAACGGGGCAATATATGGCACAGGATGGGCCATGGCTAAGTCCACGGGCCTTCAGTTCATGCTGCCCACATCTGTGACTTTAGGCAAATTATTTTACTTCACTAAGTCACATAGTTTCTACCTCAAAATTATTTTGATAATTAAATTAGAAACAATTAAAAGGTGTTCAGCAGAGTGCATAGCATATGGTAAGCCCTTAATAAATGTTAGTCTAGCACATATTATTATTACAGTGTATTATTCAAAGGGCGTGTTTTTTATTGCCTCCAATTTCCACAAGGTGGCAGGTCAAGTTCAGGGTGGACCCCATGACTCTGGGTCCTAAAGGCAAAAACCTACTTTACTTGCTTCA